CACACACACACACACACACACACACACACGGCTCAGAACTGATTTCACTGCTAGCATGCACACCCTTCCTGCCCACACACCCCTGCCGTGGGCTACCGCACTCTCCGCAGCCTTCCAGGTTCTGGGGAGGTGCCCCCTTCTGGGTGAAGACTTCCTCGGTCTCCTGGTCAGTGAGTGCCCTCCAGCCCAAGCTGGCTGTGTTTAGTTCTCGGGCCGGTGTCTTCTGAGGGGTAGCTTAGTGTGTCCTGTTCAGAGTACCTACTACGTGCTAGGCCGCGAAGGCCCAGGGCCAGGATAGAAAGTCAGCTACAGCCTCAGTGCCAGCCAGTTCTGCACCCCGGCTCTGAGCCCAAGCCTCTGCCAGCAGGTTCTTGACAAAAACAGGCCTCGAGGCCATGGAGTCAGCGCTAGGGCAGGAGGGGAGGACGGGTGGACTACACTGCTACCCCAACCTCCCCAGTTCACACAGCGCTGTCTCCCACCCTCTTCTTCCCACACACGGGGCAGCCCTTTGGCGATCGCTTGATACCCCCTCTCAGAGATGCCAGATCCACTCCACAGCCACCCAGGAAACGCAGGCTGGCACATCAGCTCTGACCTGCCACACTACCAAGGTCCGAGCCAGGCTACCGATCTCTTACCTCCCTGGCCCCACACAGTCAGAATGTACCTCTGAACTGACAGGTTTGCTCAACTACAGACTTGTCCCTACATACCGAATTTATAGCTCCTCTGGGCCTACAAATTTAAGTGGAAGTGCTTAGTAAAGAGCCAGCTGGTGGCAGGGAGGTTAAGGTGGTTGGATCCCACATGGCTGATTATGTAGTTCGAGCCCCAGACTGGTGGTTTAAAAAACATGCTGGGCACACGTGCATGCATTCCCAAAGTCTTGAAAGGAAAACTGGAGAAGAAGGGATTGCAGCGAGACCATTACTCATCGGGAGTGCTTCGCACTTCCCTCTTACTCTGTCTCTTGGCAAGTACGTGTGCTTTCTAGCAAATTAAAAAGAAACAAAAAATAAAAAATGCTTAGTGCAACACTCTAGACTGAGGACCAGCTTGCAATCAACTTGACGGCCCTATTTCCTTGACATGCACAACCTACCTGACACACACAGCCGCCTGACGCACACAGCCGCCTGACGCACACACCCACCTGACACACACACCCGCCTGACGCACACACCCACCTGACGCACACACCCGCCTGACACACACACCCGCCTGATGCACAAGGCTGCCTGGCGTGCACACCCGCCTGACACACACACCCGCCTGACACACACACCCGCCTGACGCACACAGCTGCCTGGCATGCACACCTGCCTGACGCACACACCTCTTTGTCACTCTGTGGACTGGCTGGATTTCTACCTTCCCAGGCCTTCGCTCCTGCTGGCCTCCCTGCCTAAAGGACCTGTCCCCTCACCTCCCACCACTTCAGCTCCATAAACCTGAGCTTTATAAATCTGAAGTATTATTTCTCCTTCTATTAGCCTTTTATCTTCTCTTTCTGTACTTCCCTCCAAGAACCTAGCAAATAATAGGAGCTCAATAAATATGCTGATTCCAGCTGCTTTCTAGGACGGGCCAGTGAGACACTTGAGACAGCGTTTGAAAGCACATCACACTAAATTCCTCCCACCACATGAGAAACAGAAGCGTCACACCGTACACACATTGCACAACTTTCACCTTCAAAAGTCCTCTGTGAAAGAAAGTTAACCCTTTGTATAGCATAGCCATAGGTTGGTTTTTGTTCAGTTCTAACGACTGCTGAAAGTCTTCGTGGGCTGTTGCATAGTCCTACAGAAATGAGAGTGGGGAAAAAATAAAACAGTACTCATTAGACATTTAAACAGTTCCTACTTTTGATTGGTAGAGAAAAAATGACCAGTTCATCCTGTGCTCTTTTTGATGTAAATTCTACGAAATCATATATATCAGCTGAGTGCTTCTACTGCTTGTTGAAATAGCCCAGTTCCTACTTTTGATTGGTAGAGAAAAAATTTTGTGCTCTTTTTGATGTAAATTCTACGAAATCATATATATCAGCTGAGTGCTTCTACTGCTTGTTGAAATAGCCGGCTTTCTAGGAAACTGGTGAAAACGACTCTCTAAGGTCTAATTTAAGCATTTCGTCTCAACTACAAGAATAATACGATTTCAAATATTACTCAAGTGAAGTTTCATTAGAGAAACTTCTAACCTAGTGTATTTTAACATACTGGATACTTGTAAAACAATGATATCATAGAGTAATCTTAGAATGTGTTAGGCTGAAATTGTTCAATATATATTTTCTTTTACAATAGAAAATTGTTGTTAAAAGTACTATAAGCCCAGAAAAATCATTGTGAAAATCAGAAATAAGCACTGCAATGGAAAAAGATACTCTAGTTAGGTGTGGGTCACTGATCTGCAGAAGTTCTAGTCTGGAAGCCATGTTAGTTCAAGCCACGGCTCCCTGGGTGTGATAAGCACAGAAATCCAAATATTCCTCTATGAGCAATAATCACACTGATCAAAAGCACACCTGTTTCTCTTTCTTGCATCTGCAAGGCTGGAGTGTAATTTGTAGACCAAAGGAAAGACCCTTTGTTTTTCTCTCTCTCTCAACCCCAATCCAGAATTAGTTACAGCTGACAGCTCAAACAAGAAAATGTTTTGGGTACTTTCTGTGTCTCCACTGGTTTTAATTTCAGCTAAAGGAAATGGCTTTACCGCTGCCGTCGAGCACAGACATGTCACTGAACGGCTTGAGTTCACATCTAACAGACAGCAGCACTCTGAGATCAAGGGAGACGCGACATCTTGATCATTATGAAAGGAAAGCTTCCCAAACGAAAGTGACTCACCTCTGATATGAAGTGCAGGGTCCCCCGATGCCTGTACAGCCGGGCTGAGGGCTGAAGCTGAATCGCTTTCGTGAGGTCATTCACCGCTTCATTAATTCGTCCCAGAGGGGAGAGAATCTAGTAACCCAAAATGTGGAGTCAGAAAAAATTCCAATAAGCAACCTGAAAACCGCCCACTTTTTTCGCCTTTCCCTTCTGCTTCCCTAC